CTTCAAAGAGTCTGTCTGGAAATAAAATCGGTAACAGTAACCGGGTTTGCATATGTTCAGGCAATGACAGTAACAATGATCATTACTGACACCTGGCTGACAGTGCTTATAAAACACACCCTGCTTTCAGAGATGTGAAAACATATTTCTTACAATGGAAGAACTACAGAGCTGGGCAAGCGAGGGGAACTTTTCCAGAACTTAACCAAGATTTAGTCACCATTTCAGAAAATCTCATCACCAAAAATAATGCTACTGATGATATCTGAGCCACCAGGAAAACCTACCTGTATCAGTCTCCATCCATGGTGATTAGAGCAACAGGTGTAACTTTCTAACTACTTTGTCATTTCTTATAGTTTAGGCATGTTAATGCCTTTACACGTTGAAACAGATACTATTATAAATTACTTTTATTTCTCTTTTATATCAGGTTGTCATTATATTGATGTTTTTCTATTTATATGTGTAGGTGGATTACATTATCCATGAATTTCAAGGAAGTAATGACTATAAGAAAATATCTGTTATAAAAAGGTGACGTTGGGTCTGATAGGGTTTAGAAAATACTGAATTTAGGTATCATGAATAACTGGTTTTCCTCTAAACAGAAATCAAATTCTTGGGCACTTACCTAACAAATATTAATATGCTTGTGGATAAGGAAATGGGGGAGGAGGCATAAAATTGCATATTAATTTAACAGTAAGAGAGGACAGTTTTATGCTCTTATTTTAAGAAGTGACTTCATATTTTGTTCAGAAAGCATGATCTCTTGAGTCAAACTACCTGGATTTAAATCATGGGTCTATCATTTTATAGGTAATTTTGAGTGACTCAGTCTCTGCCTCATTTCCCTAGTGGGTAAAATGAAGGTCATAACAGCATTACCTCACAGGGTTCTTATGAGAACTAAATGATACAATGGGATGGTGTTTACAACAGTGACTGGTACATCAGAAGCAGTAAATATGTGAAAGCTTCATTAATTACAAGCATAAAATATATCATTCTGCAAAACAAAGATGTCTGAACTTCTGCTAAAATCATTACCATCTGAGAAATCTTTCCTGAAGAATCAATAATTCCTTGAAATATGGAGAATAATTTCATAGTTGTGTGAACGTTTCCTCACAGAACCATATTAGAATATATTAGATTCCTTGGGGTAGTGGGGTTTATTGCCAACTGCCCCACAACTGCTCTGTAGCATACAAATACATCTTAGATTCCAAAGTGCAAGAAGGTAATATATGAAACATAACCAAAATATATTCCCTCATCAAGTAAAATGTAAAGCAGTACAGACACTGTTAGTTTTTGTAAGATCATCAAGGTTTTAATTTATTCAAATCAACAAATATCCTTAAGAATCTACCAAAATCGCAGCTCCATGCTATGTTGAATAAATACAAAGGAAGAAGCAACTGGGCTCCTATCTCATGGGATGATGCTGGGATGCTGAGACTGACATGTATGAAACAACCAGGGTCACTATGAGGAAGAGTATAATTACATCTAAATTGCATGGCACAGCTCATAAGAGTTGCAGGAGTTCAGAGGAGGAGTGGTAGAGTGGTAAAGGAACTCTACCTTAGGGGTAGAGTTAGGGACAGGGAGGCAAAACATAGCGTATGACCTTGGTTAAGGCAGTTAACCTCTCAGCATTATTGTTTCCTCTTCTATAACGTTTGACAATTTAATGCATGTAAAATGCCTAGCACGATCTAAAGCAAGAAAGGTTTGTGGTGAGGTCTTACAGAATGGGTAGTATCTGCCCAAATAGAGTGTGTTTCAGAGAGCAGGATAACCTACCTCATATAAAAGAGACACATATCCCTTTTAAGGTTTTAGGTTAAAAAAGGAAGAACTCACAAGGAATAGCCCTACTATAATAAGTACAATCTTCCGTGGCAAATAGCAACCACATTTTTTTTCCCTGCATGGCAAAGTAACTCCTTTAGCATATGAGACTTGGTGCAGGTTGAAATCCTAGATAGTTCCTTCTGACAAGCCGACTCTTTCTTTAAAAAAAGAAATGGCATAGAACACACATATCTGCTTTTCCTTCTAAATCCTTGCTTCTAGCTGCCCCTTCTCTTATTCTAAAGTGAGCACTTACTCCAAAGTGATCATAACCTTGGCCCTCCACCTTCTACAATAAAGAGTTATAATCACAATCACTTCTCTACTGTGATTTTCAGATAATTAAAATTAGAAGAAATTTAAGTTTGTCCTCATTTCTGATTCATTCAACCAAATAGCCCATATCGTGGCCTTTTTCAAATGTACTGACAATAAGAGAAGGAAGGGTTCCCCCAAAGTGTCTCAATACTCTTGGGGGAAATTACACTCACCACAGTCCTGATTACATTTACATGCACCATCTATCACTGGAGTCTTTCCTAACATTATCAGTTAGAGTACTAATTAATTATACTTTCGGACATCATAATGGTGACTTGGACAAATAAAGCCACATCTTCTAGTACTGGTCAAAGCCTGATACTGCCTTTCGCTCAAAAACAGAAGGCATGTTAGTAATAAAAGCTTCCACTTTAGGCCAAATTAAATTATTCTAGTTCCAAGACAGAGGATGACTTCATAGTAATGAGGAACAAGTGGGCCTTGTGGAAAATTCCATTATTCATCCTTATCTATACAAAAGTAATTTCAGCCATGCATTACAGGCTCATATCCATTTCTTGCAGACAGAAATGAAGTAAGGCTTGGAATCATTACCTTGGCTTGTTCAGAAATGAGAGAATTGGAAATACAGTGCTGGTGGCTTGAGGCTTTGCTATGTAAACTCACCCAAATATGTCAGTCCTTTCAGTGTCTGTTTGTCACACAGTGTGACCACACAAATATACATTATTTGTAAAACAAAACTGTTTTCGCTGTGGTTTTTCTATGCTTTCTGAGGTTCTGATGCATATGTCCAAATTCATTCTGACTAGGATTTCGTTACTGAAGGCAGCAGAGCAGTCCTCCGGTTTGCTGGTGGCTGACAGGGAGGAGGGCAGGGTGACAACCCATGAGCCCCTGACTTCTGCAAAAGCACCAAGCTGCAGGCAGAAGAAACCGTATTCTGTGCATCTGTTCCTTTGTTTGACATTCTAATAATCTATGCAACACTGTGGAAGGCAGTGTACCAGGCACTAGGTAAACAGTACTAAACAAAACCATGACCCTGTCCTGGAGTTCACAGTCTTCTCAAACATATTTTATGGTAGGTTTTGGGTTTAACTTTGCCTTTCTGTGTCCGTATTGCCTAAGTATATTTCTGGACTTGATAGCCAAAAAGAGACTCAAGATATGATACATCGTAGCTGTTGGGAAAGACCTCAGGGGAAGCAATGGTGAGGTTGAAGGGGATGCTGCCAGGAAAAACTTGAGCCACACATAGACACAACCAAACCTCAACCCAAGCAGTGTTCATTTCATACTGTTGTAACAAATCACGACAAACTTAACAGCTTAAAACTACACAAATTAATTATCTTACAGTTTTGGAGGTTAGATGAAATCAAGGTGCTGGCGCAGCTGCATTCCTTTGGAGGCTCTATGGGAAAATCTATTTCCTTCCTTTCCAGCTTCTAGAGGTTACCTTTATACCATGGATCTTCGTTCCTTCCTCCATCTTCAATTTTTTTTTTTCTTCTTTCTCTCTCTTTCTCACCTCTGCTCTGGTCATGACATCTCACACTTGACACTCCTGCCTCCTTCTTATCATCATAATTACACAGACTCCATCCACCCGAATAATCCAGGACAATCTTTCAATCTCCGGCTCCTTAACCGAATCAAATCTGCAAAGTCCCTCTTGCCACCTAAGATAACATACAGGTTCTGAAGGTTAGGACATGGACATCTTGAGGGGGCCATTATTCAGTCTACTATACAAGGCAAAGCAAATAGAAAAAAAGTTTGCCTCTTTTACACCTTGAGGCAACTAACTGAAAGCTGGCATTATGCAGTTTCTTTTCTACTTAAACCCATCTTGGTTACCGTTTTAACTGGCTTTTCTTCATAAAAATGGCAGTGGGTGGCCCCTCCACCGGTATTTCTCTGAGGCCTCCTAACTCTCTAACACCAGTTTTCCTCACAAGTCAACAAACTAAACCAGAGACACTGACATCCCTCTTAAAGTTAGCTCTATGAGCTAATTACCATGAATAGATACTTCACCAAAGCCAACCTTTCCTACCTCCTTGCAGAACTAAACTCGTTAATAGATTAATAGTTTACGGGGCTGGAAATAGCTTTTCTATTTCCCACAGTGAGGGGCCATGGAGCAAGATTTAGCAAATCGATCCTGACTTAATTCCTGCAGACATTACGCAGGACAAGCTCTTCTTTGATGCAGATTATAAAGGTAAGACTAGCAAGGAACAATATGCATCAGTTTCGTGGTGAAAAGTCGCTCAGTAGCTTTTTCTCCCAGTGAAGTCAGGCCAGAATATTTTCATTTCACTTCTACTTGAGAAAAGGGAAACAATTTGCTATTCAACTTAGTTTAAAAATGAGAAGTTTAAAAATGGCTCCTGGCCATTATGGGATAACAGGGAGTAGATTTACCTTCCTGCCTAGAAAATACCAAACACCAGAAAAACACGTTTTCAGACGACAGCAGGCAGTGTAGTACTGGGATCCCTACAAGCTGGAGGTACTCTCCAGATGCATCGCAGGGAGGGTCCTCATTGCTTCAGCCTCTGAGTGCGAGCCACATTTATTTACGTAGGTCAAACTACCAGTCCACCCGATTAAATTCATAGGAATAAAACTAAGAAAACACGCTCCGGTTGCAGGGTACCAGGTAAGCCACGCCAGGACTTGCCAGTTCTCGCGTCAGGGTGAGATCTACAGCCGTGACGTCACCCTCACGGAGACGCTCGCGAGACTAGCGAGTGGGTGGAGAGAGCGGCGGGTTTTCGCCGAGCGCGGCTTCTGCGGGGAAAAACAGACGGTAGCCTGACGTTTGTCTGGCTGCTGCCGACATGAGCGGCCCGGATGGGGTCGAGAGGACGCCTCTCCCTGAAACCCCGAGTCTCACCGTCCCCGACCGTGCCCCCGGAGACCCGGATTCTCCCAGGTGCCTGAAGCTCCGTGAGGAAACCGAGGCGTCACAGGTGATGGCGGAGACGGGTGAGGGGAGCTTCGAAGCCGTCGCGCCCTCACCGTCCCAGCTTCCAGAGGAGCCGGGCGCCCCCCGCGCTGTTCCCGCAGATCCGGTCTGTGACGGTAAGCCCCAGATCGGAGGCGGTGGGGATGGCTGTTACGTAGCGCCCGAAGCGGGGCAAGAACAGGCTCCGCCTCCCAGTGAGAGACTGGAAACGGCGTTTGTATCCCTGGCGACGGACGGCAGCCGGGAAAATGGCTGCCGGCGGGGAGAGCCGCGGGGCCCGGGTGGGGAGAAGGCCCTAGAAACCTGTGGCGCGGAGAGGTTCGGATCTGAGCTGATGGCGGAGGCGAAGGCTGAGGAAGTGAAGACTGAAGAGGGCCCCCTCTTCTCAGTCGCAGTGGATGAGGAGGTGGCGGAGAAGGAAGGAGTGAAGGAGGGGGAGGGAGTGGAGCAGGAGATGGAGATGGAGAAGCCAGTAGGTGAAGAAATAGAAATGGTGGAGAATAGAGTGGTGGAGGAGGCAGGGCACCGGCCCCTGCGGATGGATCTCCGCATGAACCCTCTGGAGGCCATCCAGCTGGAGCTGGACACTGTGAATGCTCAGGCTGACCGGGCCTTTCAGCAACTAGAACATAAGTTCGGACGGATGCGTCGACACTACCTGGAGCGGAGGAACTACATCATTCAGAATATCCCGGGCTTCTGGGTCACTGCCTTTCGGAACCATCCCCAGTTGTCCCCCATGATTAGGGGCCAAGATGCAGAGATGTTAAGATACATAACCAATTTGGAGGTGAAGGAGCTCAGGCACCCTCGAACGGGCTGCAAGTTCAAGTTCTTCTTTCGAAGAAACCCCTATTTCCGAAACAAGCTGATTGTCAAGGAATATGAGGTCAGAGCCTCTGGCCGAGTGGTGTCTCTTTCCACTCCAATCATATGGCGCCGGGGCCGTGAACCCCAGTCCTTCATTCGCAGGAACCAAGAGGTCGTTTGCAATTTCTTCACCTGGTTTTCAGACCACAGCCTTCCAGAGTCTGACAGGATTGCTGAGATTATCAAAGAGGACCTGTGGCCAAATCCACTGCAATACTACCTGCTGCGTGAAGGAGTCCACAGAGCCAGACGTCGCCCAATAAGGGAGCCAGTGGAGATCCCCAGGCCCTTTGGGTTCCAGTCTGGTTAAACTTTGCCCTTGGTAATGTTCCTGCGTAAAGTCCTTTTCCGCCCCTTTCTGGACCTGTGCTTGGGAATGGGTATGCCTTCTACTTTTTTTTTTCCCCCTTTCTTTTTCTGACATTTCTGCAGCCTTTTTCCCTTGGACATTCAGTTCTCTCAGCCTCAAGATTGAGACCATCATGACCACGCTCCACCACTTCCACATGTGCATTAATATCACATGCTGCACGGCTGTGATTCACACCACTCCTAAGCCAAGTTTGTGATGATGTAAATTGCACTGCCTTTATCTGCACTACTTGGACCCCGTTTGTTCCCAGGGCCTCCGGTCTGCCTCTTATACCTGGAATTCTAGATTTGTCTAGGAGCCCATTCTACCCACTTTGCTCTGCAGTATAGGCATATGGCCTGTGGACAGTTGTGGGCCTTTAATGATATCAAGGGAGAACAGCAGTGGACCACTTGGCCTGTATGATTTATGTGACTCCATTGCTCTTCTTGTGCCTCTGGTCACCACCTGTCGCTGTCTGCTACTGGCTGTGCCCTTGGCTGCTACCTACTGGATGAACATCTTCTAGACCACTGTCAGCCCCACTCTGGTTTCTGGTAAACAGTCTCCAGGTTTCCTGCCGGCACACAAAAGACCTTCCATTCTTCTCCCCAGAAGACCTCTATTCCTCACCCCCACCCCCCCTTCCCTCCACTCCCATCATCCAGAACCCTATTAACTGTCAGGCAAGTGGTTGAGGTGACAAGTTAGACTTGTCCTTGTGGCAGGATGGTCTAAGGCTGGTGTCCATTCAAAGTACCAGGCTTTCTCAACCTCAACTAGTGAATTCAGCCAAAACCCAGGTACCTCTTTGTGCCTGCTTTTCTCATCGGGAGTGTGATTAAGTGCCAGGGTGGCAGTACACTTTCTCCATTGTCTCTCTTCTGGCTCTTGAAAGAAATGATAGCTCATAAACATCTGCAGAATCAGGTCTTTTAGTTTTAATTTGGCTCTCCATTATTTCCAGAGACAGGTTGTCTTGTGTAATAGACTACCAGAGCTCTTACTACCCTCTGCTTTCTTCCCTATCCTCCACCCACTTTAGCAACATCTAGAGGGTTTAAAGGGAGACAGATTTATTAGATTAAATGAAAAGCGGTATCTAGGCCCTAATGGATGGAAGAACTAAAGATACTGTGATGGGTGCCCAAAGCATGGGAAACTAAACAGAAGACCACAGGCAAAAATGAGCCAGGTAAAAATTGGGCCTAAAATTAAGACTGAGAGCCTTCAAGGAAGGTTATTTCTCTGTCAGTGGTGATGAGAGAAGTTATTTTTCTCAGGATAAACATGGGAGAATTGAAGGGGGTTGGAATGTTAAATACGTTGTCTAGAGAAGAGATCTTTAAAGAAATGCAACTCAACTTTGAGTGCTTTCTCTCGTTTTCATTTGACTGACTTTATGAGGAGGTTAATACTGTGTCTTTTATTTCACTAGTATTTAGTAAATCTTGTTATGTTATTTCTGCTTACTGGGAAAATTGAGCTGTACAGGCTTTATTTTGCTTCCAGTTGGGAACATTTGGAACAGTCTTATTTTCCTGTATGATATAGAGACTTAAATGAATATCTATAGTGGATTTCAACTTGTTTCTGTTAAAACCGTATCCTTAGAAATATAATTTGAATAACTAGTTCCTGTCATATTATTAAGACTTTGGAAATTGTTGTCTTCATGGAAAAATAACTTACTAAAAATGTGTGGCTTGATTGTCTTGATAATTTGCCCAGTTAACAACTTAGTAATTGATGTGTCTCTTTTCCTAAGTAGCATAAATACTTGTGAGGTTGCTCTGTCTCATTGAAAGTATACCATTGATATATTTGTCTTTACTTATATGCATGATGGTAAAATAAAAGCATGTTACTCTGCTAGATTTCTTATTTCTCACCCTGCACATAAACACACATGAAGAAATTGTTCTAGGTGATGGCAGGTTATGGAATTACTAAAGTTCTTAAATGGATACAATAGGCATTATCCCAAAAGTAAGAAAATGAGGAACACTACTGTACTTTCAGTAGGGAGGTTTGTTGTTTCTGTTGTTTTACTTTAAAATGGTAACAGTTTCAACTTCTTACTCATGATTGCATTCTTTTCCATACACCTTGTGTGACACTATCCCCCCCCTTCACTTCCTTAAAGCCTCCATTTCTGTCTCTATAAATGATATTCTCAGGTCATTCAGGCTCTCTTTATTCACTTGTGTATTTAGTAAGCAAACATTCATAGAGTTCTTATCATGAGTGATACACTCTTCTATCCTTATACTTTCTCAACTGTAGAAACTTGTTTTCTTCAAACCTCACCACCTTCTGTGTCATATCCTTTAAGGCCTGTCATTGATAACTCTTTTGCCTTATAGTTTTTCTATTTTTCTTAGGGAAGATGAAATATTTCTTTTTGTACTTAGTGTACTTTGTAGGGACCTCTGTTCTAGAAAATAACATGTAATAATTCATTATAGTGAATTCCACAAATATTAAGGCATTTTGTCAGGCCCTGGGAAGATAACAAGACCATTCCCTTTGTTGTTAAAGAATTGGGGAAAGACTGATGTCCAAATAATTGACACAGTGATACAGTAAAATAAAGAGATATACTTTCACATGTTTTTCACTCTTT